ATTACTAATTCAAAGTCATTCTTCTCTGTTTTTGGCATACACATAACAGAATACAGTGCAGGTTATGCTCAGAACTAAAATATAGAAATACAGTAAACAGAAAGGTGTTGTTTAGTGTGTTTTCCTCACTGTTGTGTTGTGTGGCGCCCTCTACCGGATAAACACCTGAACAACACCTTTGAAATACTGTATACAGACAGAGATGCTGATTGGCAACAGAACCGGAAGACAATAAAATGCTGAATAAAGTCGTAGTTTTTTGTTATTATTGGATAAAAATGTTCTCGGATCGGTGTTCGTAGATCGACTGAGACTATTTTTCAAAGATGGCTTCTTCCTGTATTCGCGAAGTTGACTGTGTGTATAAAATATCTTCTTATTAAACTGTTTGGACACTGACAAAGTTCTCAATGCTTCGGTTTGAATGTAGGGACCCTTATTATGCTGTCGTGTTAGTGTGGGGCTATTTTGAGCCTTGTTAGTGGTAATAACAAGCGATTTTTATTTGTCATTACTCTATGCCCTATACTAGCGTTATACTAGCGTTTTAGGTTAAACTGTTTTTAGAGATAAAACTATTTACATTCGGGATTCATTAAAAAAAAAAGTCAGATAACGGTTGAATAGGTAACAATGTGTAATTAGACCAAAGGTTCATTTTGCGCCGGAGTTGTCCTTTAAATATGCATGTTTATATGTAACCTGTGCGATTCTTGGCATTCAAAATGGCCACAATTTAGAGTCAGAGTTCAAAGTCAGAGTTTAGTCTGACTTCTGTGCTGTGGCTTTGTCATGTGAAGTAGGATTTTGCAGCTTCTTTTCTATGAGATTTTACTAAGCATTTCACATTCTTTGCACAATTTTAATATATTCACAGCACATGTTGTGCATAATTATGTTGGACATTTCAGAGTTGTTTTGCTTAGTTAGTACAGTTGTTCAATATTTATTGTATCTCCTAAAAGATAATAGGCATTAAATCTGTGCATGCAAATCTTTTGCTCTTCTATGCAGAAGTGTATAAGCAGTGTGGTTTAGCTCAAATAAAGTGTGAAGCTAAGCTCAGTATTTGAACCATCAGTTCCTCTGAGTTGGTCACTTGACAATAAATGACTCATATGATCACATGTTTTTTTAGACAGGTGGTTTACCCCTTTAGCAGAGTTCACATTTGCTTTAGACATATCTGCATTTTTAAACCTCAAACGGAAAAAGAATGGCAGTGCAGTCAGTGAGTGAGGTTTGAACAGTTTGACAGAATGATTGTTGTAGTTTGTTCATGTAGATGTTCCTGACGATGTTCATTCCACTTGTTACATGGCCACTTACCACATACCTAAATATATGGACATATGTTAACTAATACATTTCAAATAATACAAACTTGATTTGAAAAGAAATCAGTTATGTAATAGGTAATTTTTTAAAACAATTATATAACCTATCATTTGTATCTGTCTATACTGTATGCTAATGTCCTGTATAAGTGTTTCTGACTTCATGTGGTGTAAATTGTGTTTTATGTTCTGCAGAACAAGAACCTGCTAGAAACCATTTTTTTTAAACTGAGTCAGGCCCGTTTAAATTGTACCTTAATGTTACTTTTAACATTTTCTGTATAATAAATTAAATTAATGAATGAATAAAAGCAAAAATATAGGCCCTATAAAATAATAAAGAAGAACACAAATTGCTTTTGCATTTCTTTGAGTTCTCTTGCTTTCAGAAAGCATTTACCTCCAATCAAAATAATCAAATTGATGGTGATTAAAATTACAAATCAAAAGCTTTTCTGGATAAAAACATCCAAAAAATCAATTTGCAAAATAATATTAAAATATTTCAACAATATTTCGAAATTAGATGTTTTCCACCTTTTTTCCGTGGAAAAGTTAAGAGAGGCATATGAATGACTTGCAGAGGCCAGTAGAGAGTGAAGCCTGGCTCATTTTCCTTACTACGTCAGGGATTGTGCTGTAGTCTTTGGTTTTCTCTGGTAATTTTTTTTACAAGACCAATCAGCAAACAGAGGGAGTGACTGAGGACGATGCCATTGATGTGTTAATTTGAGTCGTGGTTATGTAATGGTAACGGAGAAAGATGCAACGTTGTGGCAACGCTGCCAAATATCAAGAAGTTAAAGCCCTTCTAATAAGGGATCCGGCAAGATGGCAGTGTGAATGGTCAGAAGTTGAGTGGTGCCAAAGTTTTAATAGTATAGCAATTAGCAAATTGTCAGTAAAATTCATGCAGATGGAATTGTAAGGTTTTGTATCAATCTAAGATATACAGTATTTGACCTGATACATGCCTAATTTTGCACAAAGAAGAGCCAGTGAGTCTGGAAAAGCAACTGTAGAGTTTGCTCAATATCAGCAGCGGTGTGTGTGTGTGTGTGTGTGTGTGTGTGTGTGTGTGTGTGTTTGCTTTTATTACAGTTATGGTTGCCAGTGGTCAAATAAAACAACAAATTGACAATAATTGCAGGGGGCTGATGCTTTCTATTTGAAGAACGGGCCCGTATGACCACCAGGTACATAGAAGAGACAACACGCGAATCAGAGAAACAGCCCCCAGATTCAGTGCAAATAATGACACTTCCAGCCGCTTCTGGAAGCAAAGAAAGGAACAAAAATAAACAGAAAATCAAGAAAAGCACAAATAACAACACTTAAAGGTGCCATGTGTAAAAATTGAGGTTAAAATATCCCAAAAATGAGCAACACGCATCAAAAGAATGAGAAGAAATAAGGTTGATGATGTCATTAAAAAAATGACAAGTTATAGTGCCGCCGAGATATTAACCTGAATTAGCATGCTAAATTACTAGCCCCGGCCCGGCAGGCATTGTAATACCAGTTTCGACCATGGGAGGCAGTATGTGGGCGGGCAACATGAACACCAGCCAAACTGCAGTACACGAGTAACTCGCACCGGCTTGTGGGCGTACTTGAACCTGATGTCAATCGTGTAGTAGAAAGTACAGCCCACTACTACATTTCAGTTCAGGGAAGAGTTGATGAAGAGTTAAAAAAATGATTGGTTGATATTATGCATGAGGAATACATTTTGGTAAGTTGTAACATACTGTATCTTTCAACAGTGTTCGTGTTGTTTTACCATTAGCTAGTAGAGATGATCGGTTCACGTGCGCTAGGGATCTGTCGTGTAACATTTACAAAACGCCCAAACGGTATTTATTGTTTGAATTGCGTAATAAAATTGACAGAATCTGAGAGCTGAGATTTTTTTTATACATCATAACTACATAACTTTCTGTGCGTGACAAAATTGACGTGTGGCGTGAGAGCGAGTGAAAAGTCTCACAGTGAGAGTTGGCAGCTCTGAATGGCGCTAGCTTGGTCAACATCAGCGAATACTGTCTGTCAAATTAATTTAAACTAACAATAAAAATGTAATATGAACAAAACGAATACCATCAAACTTCAAATAATAGTCTGGGCTTTATTTTCCCATATCGTCAAAATGCACCGGCTTGAGACAGGCGTCTATGAGACGGCCTTTATAATTTAGTCTCTAAAAAATTTTCAAATGCTCCATGTGAAACTGCGGTCTTCCAACCTTTTACTATCATGTCAATTGATTTGATTAATATGCACGAGGGAGAGACAGCAAGACAGCGCTGGCCCGTGTTGCTTGAAGACGTGAGAGTGCACGCGCACGTGGCACAACTCACTTTCTGGAGGTATAGTGCCCCCGTCTGGTATGGAATATGGAGTATGATTTGATTTTTTTATGCTAGATGGCACCTTTAACTAACAAAAGAAAGGATACATACTACAGAACCGTACACATTAAAGACATAACAAGGACTTATACCGTAAGCAATAAAATGGATGACTGTTGCAAAACAGTCAGAATCATTACACAGGTTGGTGACAGTAATATAAAACAAATCAATGTGTATTAAAATCTCAATTTAGAAAGCATACAAGTTTATTTATCACACAAACAATGTACTTACTGCGATTCAATGACGTAATAATTACGACGGCACATAGATAGATCATAGAGAAGCAGATTTTACACATAGATTTTTAGTGGCTATAACAGCAACAGCTGGTGCTCCGACCTGGCTATTTTACACTGTGGTGAAACACATGCAGAAGGAGGCCTTGAAGGCACACCACACAAACAGCACTCCACACAGCCAGCCTTGGTAGCCCAACGTCACACTACACAAGGAAAATCGCATAATGACACTAAATAACAGAAAGCTAAGCTACACAGCTAAAAACATACTTCCACTGACTGCTCATTTAATGTCTGTTACACCTATCACAGACCTCACTACGTTCTCCATAGTGTAGCAACAAAAATAAGGCCTTTCAACCATAACGCACCCCAAGAGACATAAACAACATATGTTTATATAGTGGAGAGATTGCTCATTTACTGATTGTGATGTTTTACACTATCACAAACATCACTACACATCGAAATAAGGAAAAATTATCTGCAAATACTGAAGCAGCAAGCTTTCCAAGACACAAATGTGTCACTGAATTATTTTTAACTATGGTAAAACTCAAGGCAGACATAAAACTGATCTTTATAGTAACACACTCAATGAAGATCAGAGGTTAATATTGAATACTTGTCAAGTTCTCTGACAATAAATTTGTAGATCTACAGTAGACAAAGCGGACAAACTGCAATTCTGCTGTTTCATTTGAGTTTAATAAGAACTGTAAGAACTGAGAGACATAAATGTATGAAGGTACTGGCACTCGGTGTAAGGTTAAACCTCAACTCTAGACAAAGGTGAGAGACTCTGTTAAAGTGACCAAACGAGTGGAACATATTTCTGGTTTTGCTTTAACACTTCAGTTGAGTTTAACCACACTGTGCAGCCTGTGTAGTTACACTGTGTGTATTTGTGCTGAATACAAATTAGTTTACATACCGGTATATACAGTATTGATTATATGTGACTACTAGATACTACATATTTTAAGTTGATTTATTTGTAAGTGCAAATATGCAAATCCTGACTGAAAAAGATAAAGAATTGCACATCGATATGAATATATTAACTGAAGGTTGATAACAGACAATTTTTAATAACATTTTCAATATTTTTGTTGCCAAGATTTACAGTATGTGCCCATATATTACACCATAAAATATTTTATTTTTTACTTAAGCTTGATATTTTAAGAACATGTTAATTAGTCAAAGACAGATGTTGTTTGCTTGCTGAATATTTTCCACTTTGGTGAACTGGAAGAACAAAAAGGAAAACATAGCATTTATCAGTTATATATTTTGTTGGCATAACAGGTAAGTAGAATTGTTTTATAATGAATGAATTAAAAGTATTATCAATAGTTAAAACTTTGGGTAATTAAAGTAAGCAACAAATATATATGTATTAACTTACATGGTCTGGGTCTTGAAACTGATATGTAACTTGTGTCTGCAGATCAGTATGAATGTGTTTGTCCAACTTCTCTGTTTTTCCAGTAGCAAAAACTAAGAATGAAACAGTAAATTCAGATTCAATAATGCTCGGAAGAGTCGGAAAGATTTTTAATGTTTTTAAAAGAAGTCTTTTCTGCTCACCAAGGCTGCATTTATTTGATTAAAAATACAAAACAAAACCAGTAATATTGTGAAATATTATTTCAATGTAAAACAGCTGTTTTCTTTGTGAATATATAGTAAAGTGTATTTTTTTCCTGTGATCAAAGTTGAATTTTTAGCATCATTAATCCAGTCTTCAGTGTCACATGATCCATCAGAAATCAGTCTAATAAATAAAGTCAATAAGATTTTATGCACAAGAATCTTTTATGATTATTATAACAGTTGAAAACAGTTGTGCTGCTTCATATTTATGTGCAAACCATGATTCAATTTTTTCTTTAAATATTTAAGAGAAAAACTAAAAAAATCGGATTGACCCCAAACTTTTGAATGGTAGTGTAAATGTAAGCAGGCTAAACAAAGTAATTAAAAACTTCATATATATATATATATATATATATATATATATATATTGCACTACTGTGTATTTAATTTGATAGTTTTTAAAACGGTAAGAATAACTCACCGATCAGTACAATGAGCAGAAGCCCATTCATCAGTCCAGATATGATGATAATAATCTGATATTGTTTCTGATTCTTATCAATCTGATTCTGATCAATAAACTCCATGGCTGTATGGTTGTGACACTCAGTTATTTGAGTTGATTCTGTAATCAAAGTGTTAAGAGTTTATTAGTCTCCAGGTGGAATTTTGCAATGACGGCAATTTTATAAACCCTTAATATCTGTAAGATATTCATCTCTGTGGAGCAACCAAATAAGTGATAATTATGATTTTCATAAAAAAAAACTAAAGTAGTGAAGTAATAAATAATCAACACTCAATTTCACACCGTACATCAATGTTTTTATCAGTAGAGGAGTAAATGAACTCACCGGTGAAGTGCAGTCTGGTGCTGTTGCTGAGTTTTGGAGGAGTGCGTGTGTTCATACAATAATAAACTCCTAATTCATCAGCGGTCACATTATTAATAACCAGATGATGATTAAATTGCAGTGAATATTTCTTTCTGAATGTTTTATTTGAGTAAAAAGGCGCTGTTGGATTTGAGGTTGACCGTAGAATCACTGTTGGCGGATCTGGTGTTTTCAGTAAAATCCAATAAACCTCATTTTCATCAAGATCACAGTTTATGGTCACATTTGATCCCAGATCAGTGAGTTGATCTGAGACTGCAGCTCGACAACAGATTAATACATCTATAAGATACAAATAAATGCATAATTAGCCACATAAAACCACTGTGAAGCAAATGAAACAATTTATAGTTATATAATATATATAACTATAAATTTATATTAGTTATAAGTTATATAATATTATATAATATATAATATTTTCATATGTTATAAACTCACAGATGTGAAGCTGAATGATCCTCATGGTACTGGTTGAATAAAATCATTGAATAATGAAACCTGGTTTCCTCCACATGTATGATGAAGTTCTGCAGCAGCTCTGACAGAGGAAGTCAAGTTTGCTCTGACCACATTGTACACACATTTTTTTCAACGCCTCACCATGAGTTTTAATGATATGTGATTCTCATTATTTGAAATAATTACAACTGAATAATTAGGAAACACCAATCAAGCATTGTTCTCTTACGAGAGGTTCTCTCGTATTGCGTAAGCTAGCTTACGCTACAGGGAAAGATTCATCTTTGCTGAGAAGTTGAAGCCAAAAAATTATTCCATAATTTTGTAATCATTGTCAACGCAGTCTCTTCTGAGGCAGACCATGAGCGGGCTAGCTAGCGGCTCATTGGTTCGCTCAGAGAGAATGCACGAACCTATGGGAGAGCGGCGCTGAGTCCGCGCCCAATGAGCGGACGGCGCTCGCTCACTGCGTCACAGCCCGCCAAAAGGGGCGTGGCTACAGTGTATAAAAGTAGCTCTCCCAGGCTAGTTCGTCGATTCTTTTTCATTCAGCGAGCTACACGCATCCGCTGTCCTGGGAAGAAGCCGCCGTCGTCGAGAAGGCACCTTCTAGCGAGCTCCGGAGTCTGAGGAAGCCGGCCGTCTGCCACCTTCAGCCACCCAGCAAGCTAGCGCCATCCGACGCGTATCCTTTATTCCATTTCCTAAAAGAGCACGAGCGTCTTTTTCAAGATGCCTCGAATTTCTTGCGGCTCATGCCGCGCTTCACTCGAGGAAGGAGACCGCCACCCCATCTGCGTTCTCTGTCTCGGAGTGGAACACGCAGAGCTCGCCCTCGCCAACGGAGGATGCGACCACTGCGAGGACCTGCCTCTTTCGGCTCGTAACCGCTCCGATGTGTCCGCTTCGCTGTGCTCAGTGGACGGAGCCGCCGAGAAGGGTTATACTGCCATGCCGCCCGTCGAGGACTCGCTCATCTTTGCCCGCCCTCTGCTAGATGGCGTTCTTCCCCTACGCTTCCTTCAAAAGCGTGCAGAGCGACCTCCAACTTCCATGCCCGCGCCTATGCCGCCGCCGGACAGGCCGCTCACGCTTACCGACATGGGAGATTCAGAACGCGCCGTGTTCCTCAACGCGCCTATCTCTCCTACCGGGCTCTTCGGATCTGCCGTCACGGGCATCGTTGACCGCTTCTCCGAGGTACAGAAAGCGACTCAGGCCATGAACTTGTTCCTGCCCCGCCGCTCTAGCTCTTCGGCAGGCCGCTCTCACGAGCCGCCTGCCAGAACCCCACAGCAGCGCCCGCCTCAGCAAGCTCAGCAGCCCCAGCGTAGACAGGGCGGCCGCCCTCGCTCTCGCTCTGACAGCCGCCGCAGACAGCCTCCTCCCCGGGGGCCTCGACCCAAGATCGCGCTGAAGCCCGATCAACAGAAGTCTGCCTAGCACAGCTGAGAAAAAGGCAGCTCTCTCCCACTGCTGCCGGACCGCCGTCAAAGCTTCGCCCTCTGTTAGTCCCCGTCTCACCGCCGACTACAGTAGAGTTCACCGCCACAATCAAGCCGGTTTCCCTGCCCGCTTGCGAGCGACTAAAAGCCGTTTTCACGGCTACCCAGAGAGTTCACAAAAAGAGCATAAAAGCCTCAAGTTTAAAAAATGTGCCCACAAGCATGTGCTCACGTATACACACAAGCACCATATGCCCCGGGTCTCTCACAGAGCCCATTCTCACGGAGCGAGCACTATCCGATCCAGTAGCAGAGAACATAAGCACGCCCACGAGCCCGTGCGCGTGTCCCCCCTCTGCCCGCTCTGTCACACGGCCCATAAACTCCTCTCTGAGTGTAAGTCCCGTTGCCAACCACATTATAAGCGCGCCCACACCCAGTGTCCAGCCCGCTATGTGCAGCAATCAGGGCGAAATCGCCATTCAACCGCTAGCCGCATGCTGCGAAGCGTGGGAAGCCATCCCCGGCATCTCCCCGTGGGTTTTAAGCATAATAAAGAATGGCTATCGATTACAGTTTCGCAGTTTCCCAGTCAAACTATTTCATTCCTTGGAATAGATTTGAACTCTGTCAAAATGACGGCTCGCTTATCCACACAGCGCGCGCGCCGTGTTCAGCGCCTAGCCGCCTCATTTCAGATGGGTACCCACACATCCCTGAAATCTTTTCAGAGGATGCTGGGTTATATGGCTTCAGCCTCCGCTGTGCTACAGCTGGGTCTTCTGCACATGCGCCCCTTCAATTCTGGTTAAAGAGCCGCGTATCCCACCGCGAGTGGAGGACGGGCCGCCAGATGATCAGGATTACTCAGACATGTATCACTGCACTGCAGCCATGGTCAGTAATCGAGTGGTTTCAGAGGGGCGTTACCATGGGTACTTTTTCTCGCCGGAAAGTCATCTCGACAGACGCATCCAACTCGGGTTGGGGTGCGGTTTGCGAGGGCTCACCGGCCGCCGGCCAATGGTTGAGCCACGAGAGTTCCCTACACATAAACTGTCTGGAAATGATCGCGGTCGAGAACGCGCTGCTGTTTTTCCTCCCGCGCATACATGGTCACCACGTCCTGATTCGCTCCGACAATATGGCCGTGGTATCATACATCAACCGTCAGGGCGGCGTCAGATCCAAGAATCTCTTTCATCTGACACGCCGCATCCTATTGTGGTCCCAGAGTCACCTGCTCTCGCTCAGAGCGACGCACGTACCGGGCCATCTGAACGACGGTCCAGACATGCTGTCCAGGAACCTGGTCTCCCCCGGAGAATGGTCCCTGCACACTCAAACAGTCCAAACGCTGTGGCGCCTATTCGGCAGAGCGGAGATAGATCTTTTCGCGTCAGAAGAGAACGCTCACTGCCCAATATTCTTCTCAAAGAGCGAGGACGTGCTAGCCCAAGATTGGCCCCGCCGCCCGCTCTATGCTTTCCCCCCGATTTCTCTGCTACCGCAGGTCATTCAGAGAATCAGGGACTCACGCCACTCGGTGCTCCTCATAGCCCCGCGCTGGGAGAATCAGATTTGGTTCCCGGAGCTTACGCGGCTGTCACAGACAGCCCCGTGGCCCATTCCAATCAGAGCAGATCTCCTCACTCAAGCCCGCGGCTCGATCTGGCATCCCCATCCTCAGCGCTGGGCGCTTCATGCATGGGTGACCAACGACTACGCGTCGAATTGCCAGAAGGGGTTCTGAACACGATCAAACACGCCAGAGCGGATTCTACCAGAAAGCTCTATGCTGCAAAATGGTCTGTGTTCTCCAAATGGTGCACCGACAAAAACTTGGACCCACGGACGTGCGAGGTTTCGTCTTTGCTCGTGTTCCTTCAGGAGATGCTGGATAAGGGCAGGTCCCCATCCACTCTTAAGGTTTACGTGGCAGCCGTCGCGGCGTTCGTTGAACCCCGGCGCGCCCAGTCTCTGGGCAAAGACGAGCTAATCATCTGCTTCCTCAGGGGAGCCAGAAGGATGAACCCCCCTCGCCCCCCTACGGTGCCGGTCTGGGATCTTTCTATAGTTCTAGAAGCTCTGAAAGCCCCACCGTTTGAACCACTCGAGTCTGTGGAGCTTAAATACCTCTCGTTAAAAAACGTTCTTCTGACTGCACTCGCCTCAGTAAAACGAGTGGGGGACATTCACGCGCTGTCTTCGAGCGCCGCGTGCCTGGAGTTTGGACCGAATGACTCCATAGTCATTCTGAAACCTAGACACGGTTATGTTCCGAAAGCGATTGGTACCCCTTTCAGGGCGCAAGTGATCTCTCTATCGGCGCTGCCTGCATCCGATAGCGAACGTGACGCTGACCGCCTCTGCCCGGTTCGGGCTCTCAGAGTGTACACTACACGCGTTGCCGCGTTCAGACGCTCAGAGCAGCTGTTTGTGTCGTTCGGTGGCCGCACCAAGGGACTAGCCGCCTCGAAACAGACCCTATCCAGGTGGATAGTAGACGCGATTGCTTCTGCTTATGCCGCTAAAGACCTGCCTTGCCCTCTGGGCATCAGGTCTCATTCCACCAGAGGCATGGCCTCATCGTGGGCATGGTCCTGCGGAATTTCCATTCACGACATTTGTGTGGCTGCGGGATGGGCCTCCCTCTCCACTTTTGTCAGATTTTATAACTTGGAAGTTCCAGCCTTACAGGCTAAAATTCTGGCGGTCTAGTACTTTACAGCTCTCCTATAGAAAGCCGCACCATCGGGAGTTCCATCACAACCGGCTCACCCCTTGTGTTCCCCTATGTGCTTATGCATTATACGTTCACGGCCCGCTACGCCGGCCACCTTAGGGCGTTTTGCACTAGATGATAACGGCCGCTATGCTGGCCGCCTTATTATCTTCATCCACTTAAAGATTCCCCCGGTGTTTCCCCCCCTGGGATGCTTAGTGGTTACTTAGCGCGCACGGCGTTGACCAGGTGTTCCCGTAGCGTAAGCTAGCTTACGCAATACGAGAGAACCTCTCGTAAGAGAACGAATCGGTTACCTAACGTAACCTCGTTTCTCTCTAGATGAGGGAACGAGTATTGCGTTCCCGGCCGTGCTTGCGCCACCAGCGTTTCGCTTCATGCTACAGAATCGACGAACTAGCCTGGGAGAGCTACTTTTATACACTGTAGCCACGCCCCTTTTGGCGGGCTGTGACGCAGTGAGCGAGCGCCGTCCGCTCATTGGGTGTGTGTGTGTGTGTGTGTGTAAGTTACGCTCAGCGCAGCTTCTAGGTCTCCAATGTCATTTTTTTTTTTTTAAATATGTGAAATGTTCGTCGCTGTTATTGGAGTTGTCATAAAGAATAATAACTAACAAACTAACTAATAACTAACAAACAATAACTGACTGGGTCTGTCGTCTGACCAATCACCGCCGATTAGCGTCACGCAAAGGAGTAGTTTGGAAAAATGAGTCGTTGTACGAATCATTTGGGAGTCGGTGAGCAAATCAGTTAAAAATAAATGCATATTATAAGATAAATAAAGTGTTTTATATCCTTGCATGCATGTTAAACTGTTTTTGGGAACTTCTAAAACAAAAAGAGGAACATTTCAAATGCTA